GATGAGGTCAAAGCCATGGACGAAGAGTAGAAAGGCAAAATGGACCAACTGGCTTTAGGGAAGGAAACTGCCCGGGAGCAACTGGCCTCAGTGGAGGTCCAACTTCGAGCAGTGAGGGAGAAAGCTGAGGCCCGATCCCAAAATATCGAAGACCTCAAGTCTCAACTGGGCTGGACTATCACTAAACGGGATGCCCTTGGCAAGGAGCTGAAAATAGCTAAGTGAGTGACGGAAATAACCAGTGCCAATGATGAAGAGATGGTGGCCCAGTATAGAGCTGACGTTGAGGAAGCCCGGGACCGTCTGAAAGTCACTATCGAGTACGTGAAGTGGCAATCCGAAGAGAGCCTCTCGAGGAGGTTCATGACCAGGGTTTTGACCTGTCGACCGAGATAAAAAATGCTAAGAGGCTCGAGGCCGAGGCAAAGAAGTCGGCCAACCCCGAGGACGAAGAGGGCTCCAGCGAACCTTAGGACAGAGAAGACCCTGATGGCCCCGGTAACGAGGCGGGTTTTGGTGAAGATAGAGCTTAGGTTCCTTGGAGATTTTTTTTTGTTTTGTATTTTTCCATATTTTGTTGAGGCCATTTGGCCTTTGTAAAGATCTTTAATTATATATATATATATATATATATATGGCTTTATTCCCTTTGGCAATTTTCGAGTTTGTTTCATTTGGCTCCTTTTTATGATTGCAAAGATTTTGAATACCTTAGCACGGAATAAATTGTCATGCCCCAAACTCCGGGAGCGCGACCGGAGCTCAACCGAGTGAACCCGGTTGAGAAAGCCTATTAGAGTTCTTTCTACCCAACTCACCCGCGATCAAGAGAAGACATATTTTCATCAATTAAACAATAGAAGATCATGTATACAATATTAATTCATTTTCATTAGATACATCATTTTTAAATCTCAATATACACACCTTTTTATGGGTTGAATGGAACAAGTGATCAAAAAATAATATATCTTTGATTGAATTTGCTAATACCCATGTACAATTCACACTGTGTCTACGGAGCTTCTAAAAGATACAAAAGAGTGTTATGGTAGTGCCGACAACAAGGCTCTGGCTATACCTCAAAACGTAATAGTAATATGAACAGAAGATACAATACATGACCCCGAGATGAAGTGGGGCTCACCAAATCTGCTGGGAAGAGGATGTACCATTATCGCCGATCAACACTATCTGCTATGGAACCACCTACATCCATTTAAAGATGCAGCGCCCCCGACAAAAGGGACGTTAGTAGCGTCGAATAGTATTAATATGTATAACTAAACACCATATCAATAGAATGAACAATAATACAAGAAGTAATAATCATTAAATCAATAGAAACCTCAAACAATACCAAAACATCAAGTTAAGAATCACATAAGCATTCAAGTGAACTTCCACGTTTTTAGGTAGGCAGATCTTTAGCACCAATATATCACCACTCACAATACCACCGTACCTTTATATGGAGTCCGATCACAACCTGATTGGCTAGGTCGTCTCATTTGAGACATCCAACACAATCACAGTTCCAATTTCAATTTCCAGTTTCAATTTCCAGCACAGTCACCACACTGTGTGCGGCATGGCATCCGATCACGGCCCGATCGGCTAGGCCGTCTTGCCCAAGACATTACCATTTTCAATCAATCATCTCATTTCATACTTGGCTCTTGGCCACATTACATAATTCAAGTTCTTTTCCATATCCAAACATTATTATCATCATCAACAACAATAAGGCTTTTCATTCAAGACTCTGTCTTCACATGTGAGCAATTTAGAATCTAAGTCATATAGAGACTTCTCACACAATTGGGCATAACAATATCCATTTAAACATGACTGGGAGTCTTAACTTTTTATGGCACACAGTCCATACTTTGAACATATTCTCAAGTGATAACATAACATGATGAAATCATTGGAATACATATTGCACATATATTTTTCAGCACAAGCACATTCGGAATAGCAATTTCTATGACGATCAATTTGGGACTTACACCGATTTCACGAACACCATGGGATTCGATTCTAAGAAGAGGGGATTTTAGCCATATATAACTAGATTGAGATCCTTTAAACTTTAAAACTTTAAAAACGTGATTTGAGGGACCAAATGGTATCGGAATTTGATAAATTTTGTATGGTTGAACTCGTATCGGAATGGGTATTCGGTTTTTGTAAAATTTGTTGGGTTCCGAGGTGCAGGCTTGGGGGTCGACTTTTGGACCGATTTTTGGATTTTGTTAAGGATTGAGACTTTATGATCCGGAATAGTTTCTTATGTGTTTATTTGTGCTTTGAAGTTAATTTGGTTAGATTTGAGCCGCCGGGAGATCTTTCACCGGAGAAGTCCATTTTAGAGTATCGGTATGTCGTCTTTGAGGTAAGTATCTTGCCTAACCTTGGGTGGGGCACTTCCCCTTAGGATTTAAGTCTTCCATGTTGATTGTAGTTCGTGTACGCGAGGTGACGAGTGCGTGCTCGGACTTATCTGTGAAAAATTGGTCTTTCAGAGTTCTTAGGTCCTTATATTCACTGTGTATGAATGTGTTCTTGACATGACTGAGTTTCCTATTTACTGGTTTCTCATCTACATGCTTAATTGGAAATAATTACTTCATGATATACTCTTATTGCTTCACTGACTCCTATTTGATTTAATTGAAGAATTTCGCCTCTCCTATTGTCATGCTATCTTTTCATCGCTGTTTGTCTTATTTGAGAATCATTATTATCCTTCCTGAAATTTTGCTTAGTCTTAAGTGAAGCTAAAGAACATCTTTCCTTAATTGAACTATCGAATATCCTCGAAATTGTCCAACCTTAAAAGTAGTTAGATAACCTATATCTTTGTTGACTTGCCCTTATTTGGGACTACTTGACTCGCGTTGACTTTCTTGTTATTGACTTGTATATTGTAGGATCGTTGCTATATGTTAGTTTTTCCGTGTTGAACTGTTCCCTTTACGCCAGCATTCTTTTCTGTGGTTATTCCTTGTGAGCTGGTTCTACTGCTTCCTTGTGATTTACAGTACTTAAGTTGATTTACTTGTCTTACCTTGTATTATTGTCATTGTTGTTGCTATATGTATTGTGGTGATGTACGAGCTTTCTATTGTACTGTGACTGCTGTTCTGTCGGTTGCGCTGCGTATTTACTTTGGGACCACGGGACGATATCCCAGGAGATTCCCCCCCCTGCATGTTTACTTTGGGACTACGGATCGGTATTCTGGGATATCCCCCTGCACGTTTACTTTTGGGACTACGAGACTGCACCCGAGAGATTTTCCTGTACTGGATATTTACTTTTGGGACTACGGGACTGCACCCGGGAGATTCCCGTGTACTGGATATTTACTTTTGGGACTACGGGATTGAATCCGGGAGATTCCCCTGTACTGGATATTTACTTTGGGACTACGGGATGATATCCCGGATATCCTTTGCACATTTACGTTTGGGACTACGGGACGATATCCTGGGAGATCCCCTATTAAAAACATTGCTTTCTGAACTGATGTTTTCATTGATCCTATCCCTGTGTAAACATTATAGGAGCTATCCGTTCTATTCCTTATACTTACTAGTTGGTACGAACTATGTTAGGACACTTGCACAAGCATACACGTGGTTAATCACCCTTATCGGGTAGGAGGCTCTTTGAGATTTCTGAGTATAGACTCACACCCTTGTTATTTGCCCTCCATGTGAGAATGACTCTTTTGGGGCACGTGAGTTGTCAGTATGATCAGGAGGTGTGATGAGGCACAGGATGCCAAGTGTTAGGGTTCAGGTATTAAGACCCGTATTGTATGATTATGAGATGAGGTGTCACAGGGTGACTGATATGCGAAGGTTATCTATTTGAAAAGATTATATTCGAAAAGCATTTATTTTGAAAGAACTCTTTTTGAAAAGAACATTTATTTGAATGAAGTATATTTCGAAACATTTTTATCACTTGAAAGGTTTGACTATTTGATTGACGCTTGCTGGTTAAGACTTAAAGTGAAAACTATCGGAGTTGTTGAGTTATGACTTGTCTTTACTGTATTTGTGATTTCAGATTTGGGTTGTATTCTCGCTTACCTTTCCGTGTTTTCCTTATGGTGTTCCCCTGATGTACTTGCTATTTTCTTTCCATATTTTTAATTACTATATTGTTAGCGGTATCGCGTAGTCTCTATGTAAATATCATGTTCTGTATATTAGACCAGTAGGTGTCTTGACTGTTCCTCGTCACTACTCCACCGAGGTTAGTCTTTATACTTACTGGGCACCGCTGTGGTGTGCTCATACTACACTTCTGCACATTTTTTGTGCAGATCCAGGTATTGTTCGCTAGTAGCTGTGCGAATTCTTGCCGAGGAGACTCAAGATAGCCCTGCTGCTGCATTCGCAGGCTTCGGAGTCACCTTCCTATTTTATATTAACACTGTTATACTTATTTCCATACGGTTGTGTGTAGAAATTGTAGCGAAACTCTGCAGAGCTTATGACTTGTACTATCGGGTTTTGGGAAGATGTTCATTGTGTAAAGGATTCATTTTAGATGTTATTATTTATTGTTGTTATTCCGCAATCATTAGGCTTACCTAGTCCTTAAGACTAGGTGCCATCACGAAACCCAACGGAGGGAAAATTGGGTCGTGACAAGTTGGTATTAGAGCTTTAGGTTCATAGGTGCTACGAGTCATAAACTAGTTTAGTATAGTCTTGCGGATCGGTACGGAAACGTTTGTACTTATCTTCGAGAGGCTATGGAACTATTAGGACAATCTCACTTCCTTCACTCTTATCGTGCGAGCTTATTGATCTTGGAGTTTTAACTTTTATCCTTCCATTCTCTCACCGACGGAGGACACGAGCTGCGGTTATCGATGACGCTGCTTTCGGTGCAGGTATTGCTAGAGACAAAGGCAGAGGTCGATGAGGAGTACGTGCCGAAGCTAGACCACACTCAGAGCAGCGAGTTTTCATTGGTCAGGTTCCAGGTTTCAGGGCAGCAACATCCGAGGGAGAGCAACTTAGATTTGCAAGGTTCAAAGAAATTTTGAAAGGTAATAGCTTGGTCCATAACTTGGCAAGTTTAGGATTACTTGGCTCTCTATGTCTCAAAATTCTCCATGCACTACTAATAGTAAACTTACCTGAAGATGTTGGCATCCATCTTGGGGTATCCCAGTAATCATTAGCATCAACAAAGTGCACTTCTTGTCTAATGTGATTAGCAATATTTTGTGGGAAAGATTGATCCAGAAGTTTCTCATTCCAGTCTTCATCATCTCTCAATTCAGCCACTTCTTGCAATTCTTCATTGATTGAGAATTCTGGAGGTACTACATGATATAAGGCCCCTAATCCAGTCCAGTTTTCATACCAAACATTAGTAGACCCCCTGTTCATTTCCCATAAGATTTCATGCTCAACTTTTTCCCTTGCCTCTAACATTTTCCTCCAAATATGTGATCCTTTCCTAAATTGAACCACAGTAGGTAGTTCTTTTTTGAAATACTTGTTCCGCATGAAATTGGACCATAATGACTTGGTAGTTCTATATCTCCACCACAATTTAGCAAATAAGGCCTTTGAGACATCAATCAAAGATCTAAAACCTACTCCTCCCTCCTCCTTAGGAAGACATAGATTCTGCCACTTTGTCCAATGCCTGCTTCTGCCCTCTTCCTTATTGCTCCAGAAGAACTTTGCAAAAGTTTTATGTAAGTGTTCAAGAACATTATTAGGTGGATCAAGCATTGAAAGAATGTGTGTAGGCATGCTTTGCAACACACTAGAGATAAGAGTAGCTTTCCCCCCATAGGACACTAGCTTCCTTTCCAAGAGTGTAGCTTTGCCTTCACTTTCTGGAGCAAATCATTGTAATAATACTTCCTTCTTCTTGTATAAAATATTGGACAGCCAAGGTAAGTAAAAGGGAATGCATCCTTTGAGAATCCAGTGATATTCCATACTGTGTTCACCAGTGTCCCAGCTATATTAGCATGCATATAGTATGATCTTTTTGCCTTGTTTATCAACTGTCAAGAAGGGTGTTCATACTGAACCAACACATCAACAATCTTTTGTAATGAGTAAGGATCTGTAGAGGCAAATATAATAGTGTCATCAGCATAGGTAAGGTAGTTCAAAGGATCAGTCCACTTTGGCATTCCAAATCCTCTAAACTGCTTGTCTTCAAACATTTTCTTCAGTGATCTTGATAAAACTTCAGCTGACAGAATGAACAAAGCTGGGGATAGTTGATCCCCTTGCTTCACACCCCTTGTTGAATGAAAAAATCCTGATGCTTGCCCATTAACCATGACTGAGTACCAATTGTTAGCAATCATATTCCACACCATATTGATGAAGCATTCTGCAAACCCCATCTTCCTTAACACTTGCATCAAGTATTTCCATGACACCCTATCATAAGCCTTTTCCATATCCATCTTAATTACAACATTGGCAGGTTCCACCTTAATCTAATGCCTGTAACAATCTTTTGTGTTTAAAGAATATTCTCAAATATACTCCTTCCCTTAACAAATCCGGATTGATCTGAAGAGATCAGTAAAGGCAGTATCTTCTCCAATCTATCTGAACCACCCTTGAAAACACCTTATTAATGAAATTACTCAAACTTATAGGTCTAAGATCAGAGAATGTTTGAACTCTAGGCTTGTTGGGCAGCAAGAAAAGGTTTGTATGAGTTATAGAATTAGGCAAAGGACAACCCTCATAGAATAAAATCAGCAACTTATGAATATCCTCACCTACAATGTCCCAGCATGATTGAAAGAATAAGCCAGAAAAGCCATCTGGAGCACTTGCACTCTCACTACACAATGCAAATACTGCTGCCTTAACCTCGTCTCTAGTAGGCAATCTACATATCTCTAGGTTCTGCTCCCTTGTGACCATTGAAGGTACATCGTTTGAAAGATAAAAACTTGTAGGATCCTCCTCCTTAGTGAACTGTTTCTTGAAAAATTCTACTACAGCATTGGACAGAAGTTCTTGTGATTCAATCCATGCGCCATCACTATTCTGGATCCTTTTTAATTGCAGCTTTTGCCTCTTGCCATTAACAAGGTTATGGAAGAATCTAGTATTTCTGTCCCCTTCCTCAAACCAACTCATGTCTACTTTTGCTTCCAGTACTGCTCTTCAATGCTCAAGTACTTCTTCAACTCTGCTTGAGCTTGTTGAAGTACAATTCTATTCTCCACAGAAGGATCTTCTTCAAACAACATCTCCTTGATCCTAACCACATCCTCCCTGATAGCCAACTACTTGAATATATCCCCATAGGTCAATTTGCTCCATTTAGAAAGAGCAATTTTAACTCTCTTTAATTTCTAATTGAACATCAAGAGTGGATCCCCTATAAAGTCAGCCATCCAATTCTGCTTCACAACTTCCATAAAGGTCTCATGTTTTGCCCAAAAATTCAGGAACTAGAATGGTTTAACAAACTTCATTGCCTCCTCACCACATCTCATCAATAGTGGGGCATGATCTGAGCCTGTTGTGATGAGATGCTTCACCTCTATATTAGGGAACATTGTTTGGAAAGGCAAGTTTACCAATATTCTGTCTAATCTCTTAAAGATGCATTCCTCATTTGGCCTTCCATTTCACCAAGTGAAAGGAGTACCCTTGTAGCCAAGATCAAACAGCCCACAAAAGTTAACACAAAAAGCAAAATCTTCATATTCTGGAGGATACACTGGCTGGTCACCTATCTTTTCCACCTCACCAAGAACAACATTGAAATCCCCACCAACCAACCAAGGCAGCTCCATATCACTAGCCAAATAGTTTGATTGTCCTATAATTCAAGCCTTCCAGTGCACAACATTTTGCATAAACAAAAGCCATCATAATATACTTACCTAATTCTTGATGATACACCCTGATGGTCATCTGTTGCTCAGTATCAATCAATAAGTCCCACTCAACTACAGCATAAAAGAAAAGCCAAATCTTTCCATTCACATTTGAAATTGCAGCTTCCAATCCCAATCTTCTTCTATAATTCTTGATATATCTCTTATTTTGAAATGGATCCATAAGTGCAACAATGAAAAAGCCATGTTCCCTTTGCTTATTAATAACTCTCTGAAAGGCCTTTTGAGTCTTAACACACCTAATATTCCATATCAATGTCTTGATCATCATCTTGTAGTTGAGGCTGCACTCTTAGGCAAAATTCTTGTAGGTTGCTGTTGTTTCTTTGATTGTGTCTACTTCTTTCCTTTCTTTGCACTTCTAGCTGCTGCCTTAGGAGATATATCACCTTCCCTTGCATCTGCTTTAAAGTTCTCAGCATTAGATTCATCATCTCCCTCTTCTTCAAATTGTTGTTGTTGATCAACCAATGCATCTTGCATATCAATTTGCAACTCTTTGTGAGTTATAATATCATGCAAAATTTGATTTGGATACATCAATGGAATATTAACTTGAATCTGCATAGGTGATCCAGTCTCAGAAGCACATGCCATAGGCAGTGTTTCAAGTTCCCCAGGCTCTCTAGTAACTATGGCATGTTCAACTGGTTCTTGAAGTCTCAAAGCTACCTCTTTTAGCTCAAAATTACTCTCATGTTTCCTAGATTCTCCTGCAACACTGCTAGGAAATACTGTTCCATTAAGATCACTAGCCTTCCCATGGGCTTTTTGTTGATCTTGACACACTGTATCCTTCTCTACCTCCATATCAACATCCCCAACTTGTTCGTTCCTCAATGCATACACCGGAACCCCATCAACATAGGCCAAAACATCCCTAGAAGCACTAGGGTTTACCTCATTATATTCATCTAGCTTCCCAGCAACATCTTGAGATGGAATGTCTTGACACGAATGGTTGGTTGTCACATTGAGTAGTCTGAGTTCCTCCTTGTTTGTTCCAAATCTTCTCTGCACCCACTCAATTGTGGATTCTTTTTCTAAACTCTTGTTTATTCCTTGCATCAATCGAACTAGGAGCAGTTGCCTTAGGTACTTCCAAGACTCCCTTTGTAGCTGGAGATTGAATCCCTACTGGAGTAGGACTCAATTTGATCTCCTTTAATGCTGCCTCCCTTTCCTTATTTGCAGCTCCCACAGCTTCCTTTTTAATACGTCTAGAATCAAACCCTTCTTTATTTAAGGAAGCATTCACAACATTATAAGCCTTATAATCTTTACTAATCAATGTAGATTCCTTTACCTTCTCCAAATCCTTAGCTGATTCACCTCCCTTAATCCCAGTAGACTTATGATTACCATTGTGATCCCCAACTTTCTTCTTCTTTGCCTGATCTTGAGGGTATCTCCTATGAAGGGAGTCATGCGATTCGGGAAGAAAGGTAAGTTGAATCCTAGGTACGTCGGGTCGTACCGGATCGTTCAAAGGGTAGGGCAGGTGGCCTATAGGTTGGAATTGCCTCCCGAAATGTCATTAGTGCATCCGGTGTTCCATGTGTCCATGTTGAAGAAAGTGGTTGGAGATCCATCCACCATCGTGCCAGTCGAGACTATCGAGGTTAATGAAGAGTTGTCGTATGAAGAAGTTCTGGTTGCCATTCTTGATAGACAAGTCCGTAAATTGAGAAATAAGGAAGTTGCCTCAGTTAAGGTGTTGTGGCGAAGTCAACAAATTGAGGAAGCTACGTGGGAAGCGGAGAAAGAAATGAAAGAGAAATATCCCCATCTATTTGATCAAGTCTAGAATAAATTATGTGACCTTTCTATCTCTAAAACAACTACCATTGTGTCCAAGTTGATTCCTTCCTAAATGCTAGTGAAGTCCCTCTAGTTGTGCAAGACTTATAGGTGTAGGGATTGTTTCAAGTCGTGAACATTTCTTTGGTAAATGAAAGCCTTATAAAGACTCTTGTGTAAAGTAATCAAGTAATGGTTGTATAAGTTGGTAATGAATTACTTGTATGCTTGTAATGTGTTGAAATGGCTAAATTATGTGAAACTCATTGAAATAACTGATTCATAAGCAAACCGTATCAAGTGATCAAATGTGTGCAATTGTTAAGGTAGGAAATTATATGACAGTTGTAAGAATGGTTGTAATTCTGTTATGGTGTTTGGAATTTGTGTTTCGGGGGCCCTCTGTCAGGTAGAGATGTCCAAATTACAAATGAAACTCTGGCAAAAAATTTTCTAAAAATTTGGGAGATAGTGAAATGTGTAGGAATTTGCATAACATGTTTTCAAAACCAACTGATCTTTGAAATACTAAAAAGTTTGAAATAGGTCCTCATTCAGGGGCGAATGATTTTAAGTGGGGGAGGATGTGAGGCCCCGTAAAATTTTTTGGCTCAAAACCTAGTATCTTGTGGTGTCGACTCCGAATATGTGTTAGAAATGCGTAGAATTCTTCGCGGCGAGCCCTTGGTATTGATCTAAGCTTGTAAAAAATCAAAAGAATAAATTTCCCAGAAAAATGCCATTATGCGGTCAAGAATGCGGTCGCAGATCTGGTATGCAGACCGCATTCCTACCGCATAGTGAATTTGTGGTTTGGTTAAACTTGAGATCAAAATGCGGTCCAAAATGCGACCGCATAATTGATATGCGGACCGCATTTCTACCGCAGAGTGGAACAGAAGAGTTGTCAAAAGTTAATGTTGAAAATGCGGTCTATTATGCGATCGCATAACCAATATGCGGACCGCATAATCGTCGCATAAGTTCCTCAAGGATTTGTGAAGGTCATTTCTGCGGTGCACAATGCGACCGCATTCCTGTCGCAGACCCAAATAGAATCATCAGAGTTTTGGCGGCAGTTCTGCGGTCCAATCTGCGGACCGCATTTCAGTTCTGCGATCGCAGAATGCAACCGCAGATCTTGTTCGGGCTTCTATTTTCTAAATTTTATACCCGACCCCCTTTTTAATAAAACACCCCCAGCCCCTCATTTTTAACGATCTTCTGCACAAAATAAGAGAGAGAAAGAGAGGGTCTTGAGAGAGAAAGTCATCTTCTCCAAAATTTGAATTCTTCAAAACCATCCAGGCCGGGAAATTTCAAGCTTATCTTCATCCCCCTTTTTCTTGCAGGTAACATCCCTAACCCTTTTCACTAAAATTCTTGTTTAAACTAAGAGGAGGGGGGGGGGAGTCTCATGCATTGGTGTTTGAAAATAGTGGTTGAACTCATACATGCATGTCATTCTATAACCTAAAACCTAGTGAGAGTAATTGGGTAGGAGTAAAAGATGGTACAAAGATGGGTTGATGACCTAAATAAGTTTGAGTAGAAATTGTGAACTTCTTTTCTAAGTCATACGCGTTAACTTGTGCACTAGATTGACATTGCTAGACCATTTGGTGAATTGGAAATAGAGGTTAAAAGGGAACTCGGCTCCAGGTATGTATGGCTAACCTTGAACTTGTAGCATCGCCTTGTTTGGGTGTTTGAGTGCTTGGTATGTGATTTCTACGTGA